CCGCCTCTGCGCCATACATCTGCCCCTGTGCTCTTTCCTGCCTGCCGCCTGGCCGTCGATCGTCTGCCCCCATGCACCGGCCTCTCGGCGATTCGCCACCATCACTCTTCCCTCCGGATGGTACCCTGTTGCCTTGGGTCGGGAGCCTGCTCTGTGCACATTGCCTTCGCGCTTGGCCCCCGCTGACCCATGTTCTGTGTCTCCTCCTTCCCTCGCTCTCTCGCTCTCTCGCTCTCTCGCTCTCTCGCTCGCTCTCTCTCTCTCCTGGGGTCAGATCTCCCGCCTCTTCCACCGGTCAGCCTCGGGGCACCGGTACTTCTGGTCGGGCAGCCAGCTCCCACTCTCTCCTCGCCGACCATGACCCCGGTCCTTTTGGATGAGGAGCCTGAGCAAGACGAGCCGATGGCCTCGCTGTCCGTGGTGCCGGAGCCCGAGCCGGCCCCCGGGGCGGCCTCCATGCCGGAGCTGGAGCCGGGGTCCGAGGCGACACCCACGCCGGGGCCCGACCATGCTGAGTCCTTTACCCCCTCATCCGAGCCAAGTGCGTCACTCGCCCTCACTCGCTGCCACTCGCTGCCACACCACTGCCACTGGGCCTGGTATACCGAGACCCACAGAGACTGGGAGGCGGGATGAGGCTGCTCTGTCTCTCCCCTCGAGGATGCACCACCTCCGACCATCTCACGCATCCACACGTTCACCCTCGCCGCCGCCGCCGCCGCCGCCGCCGCCGCCGCCGCCGCCGCCGCCGCCGCCGCCGCCGCCGCCGACTGCGCACCGCACAGATGGCACATGGGAGTCTCCGGAGCTGGGACCCTCGCCGGTCGCGTCCAGGTCCACCCCCCCGGGCGGGGACTCCCCGATGGCTTTCAGCTCGGACATGACTACCGATGATACTGCGGCCCCGACGGCGGCCACCTCTCCCTCGTCCGCTGCTGTCCATGAGCAAGGGGACAATGAGGAGGATGCTGCGCGCGCGGAAGACGACAGCGACAGCGACAGCGATTCCGAGGAGGACTTCACTTGGTCCGCCCCCACCCCGGCGCGTCCGCGACGGCCGAAGTACCATCCAAGTGACAACGAGTCGGACGACGACGACGACGACGACGACGATAGTGGCCACCACCGCAGCATCCTGGATGGGGCGCGCGAATATGACCGGACCGAGACCGCCCGTCTGGACATGCTCCAAACGATTGAGGATGTACCTGGCGCACTTCCCCCACTTCCTTCCCCCCGCCCCCCATTTGCTGCCTTGCCTGTCTCTGACCTGAGTCTGCATTTGCCCCAGCAACTGATCCGGCTTCTGGAGGTGGCTGGCGATGCGGCCGACGAGCTCGGCGGCAATCTCGACACCCTGCGAGACGCCTCATCGTTGGACCATGCCAATGACCACCTGCCCGACTATATGGACGCCTTGTCCCAGTACCTGATCAACATTCAGGGGGCCGAGCCTCTCCTGCGTGAGTTCCTCGGCCTGGTTGATGTGCGTACGGCCTGTCGCAGAGGCGGAATGGGGCATCTGCATTTTCGTTCGGGCCTTCCTGTGTGCTTCTGCTCCTTTCTCTTCCCCCCCAAGGCTCCCCTTCCCCAACTGACAAGCTCCCCCCCCCCCCCTCCCCGCCTGCCCCGGCTCCTCGTCTACAGTCGATAGAGAGCCAGACCAAGGTTGCCATCCTGACAGCGGCCACAGCGGAGGCCCCCTTCCAAGCCAACTCCTACCTTGAGGAGAAGACCTACGAGCTGCAGGCCATTACCGCTTCGCTCGGGCGCCAGGAACTGGATAAGCTCCTGGACAAGATTGACCGGACCCTGTTTGATCATTACACGCAGAAGACTGGGTCTGAGTGAAATAGACGGACCGATCGGGAGATCTCCCAACCCTTCATCTACACTGGTATATTGCCGCGCGCGCGCGCGCGCGCGCGTGCGCGTGCGCGTGCATATGTATGTGCACGTGCATCGTGCGTGCGTGCGTGCGTGCGTGCGTACGTGTGTGTGTGTGTGTGTGTGTGTGTGTGTCTGCGATAGTGATGGTGGTGGTAGACACAGGGGAGTGGGGAAGGAAGAAGAACCCTCACAGCCGCAGGGGCGTTTGTAGCCAGGCCCCTAGGAACACCTCCGTGAGGAACCCGGCCCCGTGTGCGAGAACCATGATGACGAACCTGGTCAAGAAGGTGTGAGCTCGTGGGTGGAACATAGGAAATAGAGGCAGGGAGGGAGAGAGGGAGAGAGCGGGAAGAAAAGGAAAGGTGGATGGTGGCCAGGGGAGGGAGAACAGCCGGAAAAGGCGCCCAAGGTGCGCGCAAATAAAGCGCCAGCATCGTACCGCGGGGCAAAGACACTCCAGATGAAAAGGTGCCGTCGGAGGATGGCCGTGGCCACCACCGTGCAGACAATGGCCAATAGATCGATGGCACAGGCGGCGGCCGAGGTGACACGCAGCCGGGCCCCGGCGTCGGAAGCTTCGAGCCCGGGCCCGGCGAACCACGCGGCCAGGAAATGTGCCCGAAGGACCCAAGCCCCGAAGAGGGCCATGCAGATGAGCCCCCCACTCAGGACCATGTGTGCCCGGTGGAGGCCGATGAAGCCGGGCCACCATTGAATCGAGGCGAAGACCGTCTGGTGGCCGGTCTTGAAGAAAAGGTGCAACGCCAAAAATGACAGGATCCCCCCGCCCAGGAGGCCCTGATGCAGGGGAGCACGATCGCGAGAATGCCCGGGCCGCTGGCCGGGCATCGAAGGAGACCCCACCGGCAGGGGGATGCACGCCAGGACGCCAATCCAAACATGGCACACTCCCGGCCCGCTGAGCAGCTTGCATAGGCTCAGCAGCGCAGCCAGTCGCGCGAGCAAGCCATCTTGCACAACCTGGCGAGGGTTCGGGTGGGTGCGCCCGCCGGGCCAAATGTACGTGGCTGCGAGCAGGAGGTACAGCGCGCGGGGAGGCCACTGACAAGGGGCCAAACAGGCGACGGGAAGGCAATCGAGGGGGTGGGGAGTGGATGTGTGTGTGTGTGTTAGGGTCATAGAGGGCGAGGGAGGGGAGAGAGTAGCGGGGAAGAGGCGGAGGGAGGGAAGGAAGGAAAGGGCAACACAGGTTGGAGAGTCGCGCCAGGTAGAGAGGAGGCACAAGAAGAGCATGGCGGAGGAGGAGGAGCGGGGCGGCACGCGGATCACGGACCAGGTGAGCCAAATCCAGCCAAACCGGAGCAGCGTTCTCACCGGACAAGAGACTGTCGCGCCAGCGTGACAGGCCCCACCACGCCAGGATGGCACTCCCGGCAAGGGTATACACGACGAATGCCCGCGATCGCAAGGCCCGACCAACACTGCGATCGCCGCGCACACACACCAATGCCACCGCCAAGGCCAGGCACTCCAGCGGGAAGACGGCCAGCTGGTGTGGACCATGGTTCCACAGGGGATCCGCCTGGCGCGTGGGGCTCACGAGGAAGTCCCACAGCGCAATACCCAGGGACGGAAGGGGGGCGCCCGGGTCGGCTGTCGATGCGGGAAGTCCGGCCGCGTGGGCGGTCGGCGAAAAGAGCAAACTCGGGTCGTCATCATTCGATGCCCGTAAAAAGACCAGCCCCGGGGCCAGCAGGCGGAAGATCACCAATGGCGCCAGGGCCTGGATACTGGCTCCGGTCTGCGGATCAGGGCAATGTCAGGCCAAGCGGGCTCCCTGGGAAGGGTAAAAGTGGCCGGGAGGGGCCGGGGCGAAGGGGCAGGGGGGCGGGAGCCCTGGCCAAAAGCACGCACATTGCCTTGGCGCAAGTGTGACCAGGCCAGAATGACCAGCAAACTGGATAAAGCCCACCAAGTGACGTCGGCCTCGGCGGCAATGAAGCTGTTGGAGAAGGGCTGCGCGGCCACGGCCAGGGCGATGGTCACCAATGTCACAAGTGTCTGGATGAGGTTTGAGGCGCACGGGGGGGGGGGGGGGGGCATGGGGCATCAGTTGAGATGGAGAGCAGGCGCAAGGGAATCGGCCCACCGACAGCGAGAAAGGGGTGGACTTGCTCTGGTGGCCAGGCAGAAGGCCCACGCACAGAGACGCGGAGGCCACGCTGACACGCGGGAGAATGTGCCGGGGCCGCCGGGGCGACAGCCATGTTCATGTTCTTTTCGGCGACCGCCGAGCCCGAGAAGGCGGATGCCAGCCACCAAATCAGCACCCCGGCCAGCGCACACACGCCGAGCCCCAGTCGCGTGGTGTCGAACTCGGCCCACGCCCGGCGACAGCGCAGCCCGGTGGCATGGAGGAAAGTCCGAGTGAGACGGTTGCACCGGGCCAGCGGCCGGTCATCGATGTCGGCACCCGGCCCGGAAGAGGGGAGGCCCGCCGAGGAGAGCATGGTCTCGGGGCTGAGCGTCTCGCCGAGGAGCACACGCGTGAAGGCAACCTCATAGCAGAACTCCAATTCGGCAAAGGCGGACACCAGCTCGACAAGGGAGGGGATCCCCCCGGCAGTGGCGTACGTCTGCCCGGCAGCCACGGGACACGCCTCATGGTCCGGGGCGGCGGTGTGTGCATGCAGCACCGGCCAAACGGCCTCCGGGTTGCCAGTTCGCCGGGCATCGGCCAGCTTAATGGCCAAGTCTCGGCGACCAGGGTGCCGGTCGGTAGCCAGGGCTTCAGGCGCATCGGCCAGCTGCTGCTGCTGCTGTTGCTGCCGCTGCTGCTGCTGCTGACTGCCCCCGGGGGCGGCATAATGGGACAAGAAGCGAACCACCTGCCGGAGGGTGGCTCGCAGGGCGGCAGCCTCGGTGGTATGTGAGCCTGGGAAGGCCCGGGAATCGAAGCAGCCAGGGGGGGGGGGGGGGGGGGGGGGCGCATGTGAGTCGGGGCCGAGACAGGCCAAGCCCGCGGCGCCGCATGCGCATACGCACTTGTGAACAGCCCCTCGATGGGGACACCGAGAGAACTGAAGGGAATCGGAACGCCAGTCAACAGGGCCAATGTCGGAACGTAGTCCGTTTGGAAGATCGGCTCCCCGACCGGCGGGGGTACACAGGTCCCAGCCTCGTCCAGCAGGCCGACGGCCCGGCCATCACAAGCAGCCCCGCCGCTCGGGGCCCAAACCCACAGGGCACTTGTGGTCTCGGGCAGGGTGTCTCCCCCGTGGTCGCCGGTGACGGTCATCCCGTGGTCGCCCAGCACCAGGAGGGCCGTGCTGCCGGGCAACTGGGGAATGGCAGAGGTCAGGGCCTGGAGAAAGCGCTCGACCTGGTGGATTTTGCGCTCGAGCGCTCCGGATGGGTGGTGTGGCCCGAGACGATGGCCAACATGGTCCAGGCCCAGCATATGGCCGATAAGCACATCCCAGCTTGGGCCTGAGCGGCGGTCGGTCAGTGGCAAGATGCGCAGCCGGGGGAGGAGGGAGGCGGGGGACCAAAGAGCAGGACATCGACCGGGCATCAGGAAAGGCGGCACGACAGAACAGAGCGAGCGAGGCAGGACGCACTGCCGCTGACCGGGATGTGGTCCACCCACTCGGCGAGACCGTCAAACCCCTGGAGGATGTCCGGGTCATGGAGCTCCAGGCACCGAGCGAAGTAGCGGATGACCGCGGCGTCGACCGTGTCCAAGTCGGCCACGTCGAAGCTCGGCAGCGCCAACACCTGGCTGCAGGCCGAGCGCCCGGCTGGCTGGGGCGGCTCCCCCTCGCGCATCGGAGCCACCCCGCCCAGGCGGCCCTCCGGGAAGAGCCCGACCCAGGTGTCGTCGCCGACGAAGCGCACCGCCCGACCGGCCCGGCGCCATGCGTCGGGCAGGGAATCCTCGCCGACAGCACGCGCGGCGAAGTTCGATCCCGCCTCCACGAAGGCCGGCAGCCCGCCGGTATTGAGGGCCTTCAGGCGCTGGAGAGTGGTGGTCGGGGCATCGGCGATGAATTGCCGGAGCATGGTCCGGTCGGGCTGGCTGTCGAGCAGACGCCCCGGGGTGTGGAGAGCTGGCAGGGGCGTGGTGGCGGCGGAGAAGCCGGCCCCAAAGTTGGCATCCGCAAAGTCATACCGCAGGGCATCCACCAGCAGGACAATCACCCGATCGAAGGGGCGCAGGACTCGGCGCGCCTGGATGGCCAGGCGCCCAGCCAAGTGGTCCATTTGCTGGTGAAGGGCGGCCCCATGGGCAGGGCACTGGTGCCGGGTGTCGAGCAGGGGCAGCGGCTTCCAGGCTGGCATGCTGCCCACCGGCTGGTCGGCCGGGTGTCCGGCCAGTGGCTGGGTCAGATCCGGGAGCGCCACACCGAAGGCAATGTCCCCCCAATCGGCTGGTCGATCGACCGGGGTCCGAGTCAGCAGGAATCCCTCGGCGAAAAGCCACACCCCGATTGCCAGGAACAGGGCAAACATGGTGCGTGCGGCCAGCCCGGCGCCCGGGCCTGGCCGCAGCAGGGGGAGGGTCATGCGTGGAGAGGCGATCCGAGAACTGGGGCCTCGGGTCAGGTTGTGGGAGGGAGCAAGAGGCCGGCGGGGGGGGGGGGGGAGGGGGGGAGGAGAGATGCAGGCTGCGGGTATGTTGAGAAGGCCAAGGGGAGGGGGGATATCAAACACAGCCTCACCCAATGACAAAAAGCACCGGCTGATCTGTCTGTGTGGGCAAAGGGACAGGCGCGCACAGAGAGAGAGAGAGAGAGAGAG